GATCAAACATACATGATACATTAATGTATTTTAGATAAACATTGCATTAAATCTATCAACATTCATTCCTAACAAACTGCTGATTTTGGAAATGTGTTAGGGAACAGTGACCTTTCAAATAATGGTCTTTATGGTTTGTGTAAATGACTTTTGGTTAGTGCTTTATTAGTCTTACCAATTTTTGGATAAAAGCTCTAAAAACATGTTATTAGAATAGTATATTGTTGATATATTCCATCCTCAGAGTTAGGTGGCATGTTAACTATATTCGTCTTAAAAATGGTCTTAAGTTTTCTGCAATTTGCTTATGTGAATATCAAAGTACCAATAATTTAATCTTTTCTTGAATTTTGCTTAAATGGGAGTCTGTAGTTATTAAGTCAAATCCCTTTAATTAGTTCCCTTATTAACAGGGACTGGAATTGTGCTTGTGGTAGGACTTTTGGCTCTTTTGTCCACGGAACTGTAAATATAAGGTTATTTGCTTTCCAGAAATCCTAAATCAGCTGTTGCTCTTGGATCCATTCCCTAGGAGTCCTACCTAGCTCAGACTTTCAGGTCATATTAGGGAATGCTCCTGGTCCTAGGTCACATATAAAATGTCATGAATTAATATGACTATAGTTCTAAATTACTCCTGTTTAAGTTTTGGGAGAGAACATGAGCAGACTCCAGGCTCTCAGCTATCAGCATAGGGCTTGACGTACGGCTCGAATTCCCTAGCTGTGAAATCACAACCTGAGCTGAAGTCGGATGCTCAACTGAACCATTCAGGTGCCCCTACTGAGAAGAAGTCTTAACACAAAAATGGCTGGCTGTATTAAATTTATGATCAGAATTATCTAGCACAATAAACAGTCATGTGGGCAAAGAACATTTGCAGGGTATTAATGGAAGTGGAGGGGAGAGAGATTGAAGTATCGAAATATACAACATAGTAACTTTACGCTGAAGTTGCATTAAATTTTAGTCACAACACAAAAATGCCATGTATTTTTTGAGTACATGTATTAATTAGTAAGCACTGATATTTGTTAGCTATTATGGATCAAGCACTTACTGAAGTAGGTATTCTACTTTTTATAGATAAGGAAACCCCAAAGTAATTTGTCCAAGGCCATACAGCCAGCATATGGGAGAACCCATGTATTATTTTGATAATTATTTTGAAAGTCCTGCTGTCATGGTATCAAAACTTTAAGCCAGTAGTTTTATTTTTATTAAATTAAGGCTTCTAATTTATATCTAAGAATCATTTGTAACTAAAAATTGAAGCATATACCTATGAACATTTTAGGTTTGACAAACATTTTGTAACTTGCCAGTTCTTAGTAGACAAAACTATTTACAAATTTTATGTAGTATGCATGAACATAGTCCCAAATACAAATAACTGATTCTTACACATGCTGCCTCTGTTTTGTAATTTTTATCAGGAGTATGAAATTATAAAATTTAAAGTATATAATCTTGATATATTTCTAAGTTTTATGTATAACAAAATATTTTAATAAACTTATTTTGCTACTTTACTTGCACTGAGTGTCATAATAAGGTGCTCAAACTCAGGAGTGGTATCTTTGGAATTCATATAGGTTATGGGAATTAACTCTACATGTAGTAAGAGTTAAATTCCATTTACCACTACGCTCACCCACTGAAAAAGCATAATTATAGTTTTACTTTTCCCTTCTATATAATCTTGATTTAAAACAAATGACCATACTGGAGTTTCAGATTTTACTTTATTTAAGTACATGCTAATGTATTTACATATTTAATGACTGTTAGGATACAAACCATCTTTGTTGGATCTTTTTAGTACCTAAACAATCATCATTGAATAGAGAGCTTTTAGTTTTAATTCCTTAGGATCAATATCTAGAAATCAAATAGGGCAAAGACTTTTTAATCAATATCAAGAAATTCCTCTTGAAAACCAAGTGGTTGCCAACTTGCAGTAGCACTATAACACTGAGCTAATGCAGTGTAGAAAATTAAAGAGGGGGGAAAAAAACCCCTGGTAATTGGATAGACAAACAGCATATAATTTCCATTTATACTAAGGAGGCTGTTAACCCCTACATATTTTTATGAGGCAAAGATAGTGGGTATTCATTCCTTTTCAACTGATGAGTTATCTCAGATACTGTCTCAGTTTGCTGGTTCTCTTGGAAGTTTTAAACACAAGTTTTAGAAAAGCACATAAAATATTTAACTTCTCATCATGCAGAATTCACAACGGTTTAAAAAACAAAACATTCCCAGTGTTTGGGTTGTAGATACAATGATTGTCTAAATTAGTAAATTAAATAGAATACCTTAAGAATTTATTCAATTAAGTAGCTGGTAGGCTTTTCCCGTGTAGGTCAAAGATGCATGATGGTATGCTTGCTGCCTCTTGGTTAATATGCTCTAGTTCAGAACTTTATTGCTCATCAATGAACTTCCTTTTAACTCTGCTGGCAACAACTTGGGACTAAGGACAAATCACCTCACCCTGCAGGCATCTTACTTTCTCCATAGCCTGCTGCTGTTTACCAAACTGTCAGATTCTTACAGCCTAAGAAGCAGGTACAGAGAATATTTTATTAGACTTATAACATGTCTCCTAATAGCATAAAAACCAGTTACATGATCCAGTTTAGGAGTATGTACTTCATATTATAATCCTTTACAAAGAGAAAATCTCAATAATACAATAGGCTGAATCTATGTGAATTCAGTTTGAGGAATCCTGGATATAAACGAGTTCAACAAAGTCCTTTAGATGCGATTTGTTTTGGGTTTACTGCAACACTTTTTGTTATGTTGTATGTCTTGTAAATTCCAATAAGTCTGTCTGAGATCTCAAACATATTATTTCGAAGAGAAATTATTATGAACTGGGCATTTTTTGTTTGTTCCTAAAGAGGAAAAAAAAAAATAGGTTAGAAGTGTTCAGTAATAACAAGTATTCCTGTAATCAACATCTAAATTTGACTTCCCTGAAATGGTTTTTTTTGCAATTCAACATTACTTTGATAATTAACATGAACATGAGTGATGGCATGGATAATTCACGACACAGTAGTTAAGAGAAGCATTTGGGTTATTTTTGGAAGCATGGTTGCCAGAAGTCTTCTAGTGGAGTTAATATCTAGGCAGAAGATCAGAGATTCTAGTTGTGTTTTTTGCTACTTTACATTATCAATTTATATTTTACTTGTCCAAAAAGGAAGTACTTGGTTCAAATAAAGGACCTGGTCTCTGATATCATAGGACATGGAATTAAAGTATAGGGGAAAAGCTCAAAAGTAAGAAGTCCATGAATTCCATGTGTATTGTTAGGGAACCTAATAAAATTCTCAGAACAAAAACCTCTAAATGATTACTTACATATATATAAAATGCAACAATGGACACATTTTTAAAATCCAGGGCTGCATCAATTTCGTCCATGAAGTACAGGGGAGTGGGTTTGTAGTGGTGAAGAGCAAATACTAAAGCCAATGAACTAAGTGTTTTCTCTCCTCCTGAAAGATTGAAGATCTTCTTCCAACTTTTCTTAGGTGGTCGAACACTGAATTAAAAAAATCTCTTATTAGTCAAATTACTTGCACAGGTAACGATTTCATGGTCGGTTTTCCATAAATGGCTTCTACCACCTTCCTCGGGGATCTCTAATTTGCTTTTCACAAATCTAAACTTTTTGGGGTTATTTTATAAAAATGTTATTGGAGGATGAATACACAGGAACACCTACCAAAATCTTAAGATTTAAATAGCAAGTCAGTAAATATTTCTTGCTATTCTTCCATTTCCAGCACATATTTTTTTGCTTTGCAATTTCAAAATCTTGATGTTAAGTTGAAATGGCTCAAAAATTAAAAGATGAACTAGACAAATATTGTGTAAAATTAAATAATTGCCGCTTGCCCAAGATTTATGCTAACAAACTGCCAGTATGTAAATGAATTAGTATTTATCATCAAATAAAACACTCAAGCTGTAGCTCTAACCTTCACATCCCACCCCTAAAATATAGAGTCTGGAGAATATGTAGAGATATGTTAACAAGAGGATCCAAAACTCAGTACAAATTACAAACCTGAACATGATTCCTTCAGAGAAAGGATCCAAGCTGTCGACAAGCTCCAGTTCAGCATCACCTCCCAAAGTAAGCATTTGGTAATTTTCCTTTAATTTATTTGTTATTATATAAAAACCTGCCATGAATTCATTAAGCCTTTGTTTCCGAAGATCTTCATATGCCTGTCTAAAATGATCTCTTTCACAAGTAATTTTGTCCAATTCTGCTACCCGCTGTAAATATAATTCTTCCTATGAAAAAAATATCATGAGAAAAATACCTATTCAGTTATTCATTTGAGATGAGAGCTAATGCTGCTAATTATATAAAATTAAAGTTGACAATTTAGACTAAAGACTAAAAAGAATCTGACTAAATCATTAACAGTTTATTCATACCTTCTTTTTATACTCTGCAATGGCACCAAGGTTTGGTTTCATTTCATGACACTGGGCTTCTAAAAGTGCAATTTGATTTGTTATAGAATCTGGATTCTTGATTGCTTCAAGATCCTGTGGGCTCAGAACTGCAATTTCTTCAAGAGGATTATCTTCTATGGGATGCAATGATATTCTTGAAATCTAAAAGTTCAGTGTAGATGAGCATTAGGGATGTCACAACTGTAAGTTATTGTTTAAAAAAATCATCAATATGACAAATTACCTATCTACTAAAACAATATATTCTAAGGAATTGTGGCTAATTTCTGTAGCAATTATTTTTCAAAAGACTTCAAGAAAAATATTTCTAGTGTTCCGAAGTGTTCATGAAGTCTTCTGTTAAATCTCTGAATCAGCCTTGGGGTGAAGATGGTGAGTAATGTACCCATTATTCAGATTTTTCTGTATATAACAATTACTATATGTTATTGATTATGTTCTCTATAAATCTAGTGATTTTCTCTCGGAATTAAGAATCATAACGTCTCAAAAGTACACACACACAAAACAAAAAACAGCTCTTTTTCATAAAGGATATTTTAAAGTTACATTTAACTAAATGATAACAATCTTACCTCTTTTTGCCAATATTTTATTTTAGAATTATGTTCAGCAATGTGACCATCTATTTGTTCAAGTTTCAACTTAATACTAAGTGCATCTTTTTGAAGTGCATGTTCATTTTCTTGAATTATTTTTAGTTCTTGAAGTAGATTACGATGTTCTTTCTGGATCTCTGGTAAGGATTCCTAGAAACCAAGAAGAACTACTATAGGTAGGACCCTCCCAAATGGAAAGAACAGGTATTTTCACATCAGAGATGAAGTTAGCAATCTCTTCCTATGTCCCATGCATTTTACAGTTTATTTACAGAAAAGTTACAATACAGTACTCATTTTTATTGTACAATACAGCTATAAAAGTTTTGACCTATCGTGTGCTTATTACTGTGTAAGCTGATGTCACATATCCCAACCCTTTAAATTGCTTCAAATACCATTCACTCCTGTCTTCAAATCTTACCTCTGCAGCATTTGTATTTTTCACAACCTCTGCTGCTTTGTCCTCAAGACTTTTTAGTTCTGCTGTTAAATCATCTACTTCTTTCTCAGTATCTTTTATTTCTTTCTCTGTGCGAAAGACGGAGTCTTGTGCTTTTTTAAGATTTCTAAACAAGCAAAATGATGTATTAAAGATGTAGTAACGTGTGATTTATCTTGCTTCTGACAACTTACCAACAAATGCCATATTAATGAGACATTTTTCTATCACAGATGTTAAAATTTATGACTTACTAAAACCATCCTTGAATTGGTTTTTATGTTATACATAACACTTCTGAGATGTTGTATATTAACCTCTCAGTATAAGGTGATGAAACTTAGATCATGAAGCAAAGTTGTCCATTGAATTATTATTTTGTCTTGTCTTATCAGACTGGAGATTCTTAAATCTCTACACCCATGAAGTTATACACTCAAATAAAAAAATACCTCCCAGTTAGGGCAACATGTGCTTCCCAAGGAAGGCAACAAGGACTATTTTTTCCCTTAAAAAAGTTACTTCTACTTTGACAAATGTTGTTTAGGCAAACTTCTGCTCCTAACATAAACAAATGGCTTATTAGTGCTTTATCTCTGAACCAAATACACAAATGAACCAGATAATCAATATGCAATCTGTTATAATTTTAAGATAAAAGAAACAGTTGTTTACATTTCAACATTTTGTATACCTAAATTTAGCTCTAATTCTTTAGAAACAACAATAAATATTCTAAAAATTAATTTAAAAACATGATCTATGAGGGGCGCCTGAGTGGCTCAGTCGTTTAAACTTCTGACTTTGGCTCAGGTCATGATCTCTCAGTTCATGGGTTTGAGCCCTGCATCTGGCACTGTGTTGACAGCTCAGAGCCTGGAACCTGCTTGATTCTGTGTCTTCCTCTCTCTCTGCTCCTCCCTCCGCTCGCACTCTCTCCCAAACATTTTAAAAAATTTAAAAAAATAAAAACAAAATCTATGAATGGTTAATAACTTTTTGTTGAGTTGGGACAATGGAATAATCAAGTAAACTAGAAAGTTATCAAGACAATTTTGCCAAGAGGTCTCGTTTTTACCTCTTATTTTCCTAAGATCTAAATCTATTTAAATTAACAACCATCTATTCCTCTAAGCCAGAGAAACAAAACTCTAATTTTTATGTGCACACAATAACTGGGGAGTTCTGTATGTCACGGCATACCTGTTTACCACTTAAAACATACACAAAAATGGCCATAAAATAAATGTTTATAGGCTTCCCTTTACTAAAGTCCTGTTAGGTAAAAACATGTCAGACAGGCTTAATAAATAACAGTGGAAATGTTTGAAGGGCATTACATTTAAATATAAACCCCTTTTCCACAGTGGAGGTAGCAAGATGACAAGTTAGGTAGTACACATACTCTACCTGTCAGCAGTCTTGATTGCTACTTGGGCTTTAGTAATAGCAGAAGCACATTCATCTAATTGCTTATTTATTTTATCAAGTTTGTCTTGTTGGGCCTTGAGTTTATGGTTATTGATTTCCACGATGATATTGTGTAATCTTTTAACCTCAGCTTCTACTTTACCAGCTCTTTCAGCCACACTGTCATATTCTGAAATAAAAAGAAAGAACTCCATGTTTCGAGGTTCACACACATCACTTGTTAGATGTAAACTTATTCAGTCATATGACTTAACCTGATGCATGCAAAAGAAATTTTACAAATTTGGGCAAAGTGAATCTCAAAAAACCCACCAGAATACCTCCCCCCAAAATAAACTAGAATACCCCATGTCAGAACAAATGGTATTGTAACACATGGTTAAATTACCTGGCTTAGCCATAAGCACAACCTGTTTAATGGCTTCATGCCCTCAGGCATTTTCCAAAAACCTCTGCAACTTTTTCTTACGTACTTCCTTGACTGACTACTGGTCTCATAATGATTTCTGCCCTCAGACTATGTGCCTATTAACTTGTCTGTGATAAAAAAGAACTGTGGTTGTTTTATTTTGCTAACCTAACTTAAAGTACTCCCTCACGTGTTGTAACAAAGTGGGGGAGGGAGGATGAACTGGCAGTTTTCTCTATGGCACAGAAAACTAAAATTTGATTTCCCAGATTCCCTCATATCTAGGCTTCAGACATAATTAGGGTCCATTCAATTGAAAAAATTCACATAATTTGAAAGGCATACGTGATGAACATGTTTCTGCTGGCAAGCAGTGACAGAAATTTGTATTTTCTTGGTGGCATTAGAAATTCTGGTGTTCAGTCAAAAGCTCTGTGAATACTGACAGGCAATAGCACTAACTTTGATGGTGTGAATTGGAACGGATGCAATGTGCTTCTATTGTTGGTAGTTGCAGTGCCATCTTCCCAATTTGAGAGATGACTTTCCAATTATAAAAGAGGCAGTATAGTTCCTTTGATGGTTCTACAGAATGGCTCTAGATATCATTCTTAGATGTTCAACCTAGAATTTCCTTCTTTAGTTATCCCACCCAGTGATTCTGTAAACAGTCTAATACTCTCTTAAACACACACATACACTACACAGATCCCAATTACACTAGCTAGGGTGGAAACTCTTCTCCATATTTGAATTCTGATCACTATACAATATAGAAAGAATGACAGGTGGCAAAAAGATGAGTTCAAGCTATCTTATGTCTAGAAAGGTAAACAGAAATGCTAACTTATGGAAAGAATCCCACAAAGCTCCTACAGGAGGAATATGGGCATTTGGCATAGGAGGCAGGCAGGATTTGCTGAAAACAGGATTGCATGAGGACTTAATGACTGCTCCCCCTCCACTGTCTCTTCTTCGTCAGGTAGGTTGTTAATTCCAACAAGTCTACATATCTCATTAATTTACCATTTCCCCTTTTTGTCCTACATTATCAGAGTTGGATTCCAACAACTCATTTTTTACATTTCTGAAATCACCACTTGGCTCCTGAAACAAAAAACAATTCATGTCTTCTTTTTGGCCTTCTGTAGCGTCTTTTTATCCTAAGGTTATTAAATACACACATTTAAAAGTTCTATATTGCCAAGACTCGTAATCCCTCTCCACCCCCCAAAATACTCTATTTAATGAATTATTTTGCTCACAGTGGCAATGTTCTCTGAAGTTAAAATTCCATTAAGCTACTTGCGTGCTCTGCTCACTTATGGGTCAAAACACCAGCTACTATGTGTGCTGGCACCACAACTTATACTGGGGGTGGGCCAGAATGCCCCTGGAAAGAGTCCAACTTGCAGAACATTTTCTTAAGTATGTATCTACCATGCATTTCTTTTTTAATATCTATAGTAGCATGTCTATTAGAAGTAGAAGGAAAAACTATGTGGCATATATCATCTATAAGTTTGAAGCCTTTATTCTATAACCACCTCCCCCCCATTCTCTATAAACAGCTATTCTAAAAAATTTTTATTTTTAAATTAATTTTAAATTCTAAAACGAAATTTAATTTTAAAGAGATACTTGCAGAAATGAGTACTTCACAGAAGATATTAACAGTATTGATATTACCCAATAGTGTTAGCCTATTAATAATAGCCAGTATTTCCATGAGAGGAGCTATATATATATAGGGCTCCTAATAAAGTCAAAGCTTCCTTTTCAAGTAAGAATGAAATACAGATTCCAGTAGTCTCTGTGAAAATGTTGTTATAAATGACACACATACGTTTTTGGCTGCTCATCTGACAATTGGGTACCACCAAACCAGTCACAACAAATACTGTGTGGAGAAAGAGTTAAGCTAATGTGTCTGCAAGAACAAAATACACATCCAAAATAAATGCAAGGGGGGGGGAAAAAAACCTGTCACATGATGCCGCTTCCACCATACATCACTCTGGTGGCTATTTCTCTCAGAGACATGGCCCATAAGGCCCTACATTATCTGGATTCTTCCGCTAGCCACTTTGGCTTCCTTGTGTTCCTGGAGACTCCTAGCATACTCCTGCCTCAGGGTCTATGTACCTCTACGATCTTAAAATGCTCTTCTCCCAAGTATCACATAGCACTCATACTTCTGTTGTGTCTCTGCTTAAGTCTCTCTAGTAGAGGCCTGTCTAACCAGGCCTTGTGATTCCCTATCTCCACCCTGTCCTGTGAACCCTGATTTTATTATCACTCAGCACCACCCAATACAAAAAGCAATGTATTTGTTTAGCTTCCTAATCTGAAGCGTGAGATCCTTAAAAAGAGGGACTTCATTTTGTTCACTGCTCAATCACCGGCACTTAAACCTGGTCATGGCCAGCAGCAGATGCTGAATGTTTTTTTTTTTAATTAAAAAAAAAAAAAAAAAAAAAAATTTTAACGTTTATTTATTTTTGAGAGACAGAGCGTGAGCAGGGGACGGGCAGAGAGAGAGGGAGACAGAATCTGAAGCAGGCTCTCCAGAATCTGACGCAGGGCTCAAACTCACAGACCGTGAGATCATGACCTGAGCTGAAGTCGGGACGCTTAACCAACTGAGCCACCCAGGCACCCCGTGAATGTCTTAATATTAAAAATGTAGACAGGGGTACCTGTGTGGCTCAGTCAGTTGATTGTCCGACACTTGGTTTTGGCTTAGGTCATGCATGATCTTGCGGTTTATGAGTTTGAGCCCCGTGTCAGGCTCTGCACTGGCAGTGCGGAGCTTGCTTGGGATTCTCTTTCTCTCTCTCTGACCCACCTAGCCTGTCTCTCAAAATAAATAAACTTAAAAAAGAAAGATCTGGGAAAAAAAAAATAAAGTTAATACGGGTACTGGTGAATATTCAATGTGCAAAGTAGGTCTACTTAATATCTTTTTATCTCTTTTTCTGTTGGAAGAAAACTCATTTTTGGAGCATTTGAATAATTACTACAAGTCCACCCCAACTAGTTCTTCTTTTCTTTGCTTAATATTTATTTTTGAGAGTCAGAGAGGAAGACAGGATCTAAAGCAGGACCTATGCTGCCAGCCCAGAGCCTGATATGGGGCTTGAACTCACATACTGTGAGATCATGACCTGAGCTGAAGTCGGATGCTTAGCTTAACTGACTGAGCCATCCAAGCGCCCTAGCCTCCAACTAGTTCTTTGGTTGGACAATCAGTATGTGCCCTCCTGGGTTCACAAATTGAACTGTAACAGGGGTCTTTCCTGAGGATGTGACAAAAGGCTGTGTTTGCTGTTCACTAGCTAAAATACTGTAAGCCAGGAAGGGATCTAATTATAACCTATCATTCCCCCCTCCTGCAATAAGATGCACATCTGTTTGATTGAAGCTAACATGAAAAGAGAAGCAGGGCTGTTCAAGTGCATGATCAGGGGATTTAAATTTCAAAGCCAATTTTGGCTATAAGCTTATGAATTCCCTTTCTTGCTTTATGTATACTGGTAGAACATTTATAATATTTACATGTACAAAAGAAAAAAGTTCTGGAAGGAAAACATGTTTTTTAAGTTTTCAAAGACTGTTTTTCTTCATGTGTATACCACTTATTTCGTGTGCTTTAAAGTGATTTAGCTTCCCCAAATACTCAGTTTCCTAAATCCATAAAATAACTATTATCTTGAAGGGTAAGACTGAGCCAAACTACACAAAGTATAAAATTAAGAGCACTGGTTCTGGAATCAGATTGCTCTGGTCCTCAATTCCTCTACAAGCTATATATATGACGACTTTGGGCAAATTATATAAACCATTCTGTGCCTTAAGTTTTCTTATTGGCTAAATGAAGTACTTAATAGTACTTACTTTATAACCTTTTAAGATTGAGATCATAGAGGGTGCCTGGTGGCTCAGTTGGTTAAAGCTTCCAACGCTTGATTTTGGCTCACGTCATAGTCTCATGGTTCCTGGGGTCACGCTCTGTGTTGGAGCTGCCTGGGATTCTCTCCCTCTCCCTCTGTCCCTCCCCAAATTGTGCGTTCTCTCTCTCAAAAAGAAATTATAAAAAAAAAAAAAAAATAATAGAAACTATAAAACAGAGCAGCTGACTTGCACATAAGTACACAACTGCTATTTTTGTTCTACAAACTATTTTAAACATTTCAAATATTAAAAACCTATTTTTGGCAATCTCAAAAAAAAGAAAAAAAAAAGAAGGAAGTGTGTACCCTTAAACACATACACATACCTTTTTTGAAAACACTAACATTTTCTTCTAGTAACTTCTGCTTTTTCTTGTCAGGGGCTGTAGCAAGCACATTAGCTTCGAGTTCCTTAACTTGGACATTCAAATATTCTTCTTGCTCCCTTAAACGCTACAGAAATGTTTTAACATTACAGATCATTATTTTAACTTACTATAACAATGATATTTGCCTTAAACACTTTGAATAAAAAAAGACACTTAAAATCTTTAAGAAGAAGACAAATACTAATAGGAAAAGAGCAGAAAACATGAATAGTTAACATAAAACATGAAAATGGCCAACAAACACATGAAATTTGTAATTCATCACAAATACAAGTTAAAATGCCACTTTTAGGTACAGAGTAGCAAACTCACAACACAGTGAAGACCGCCTAGTTTTCAAAGACTTGGAAAAATAATTATTTACATATGCTACTAAAAGTAAATTAATTGGAACCATCTATTTGAAGACAATTTGGCATCATACAACAATACCTTTAACACTGTACACATAGTGGATAATAACCATAATTTTAGTAATCTAACCTAAGGAAATAATTGGGTGCATAAAGATATACCAAACAAGGATATTTTACTTAAAGATTTTATTTTTAAGTAATCTCTACACCCAATGTGGGGCTCGAAATCACAAGAGTGAGATCAAGAGTTGCATGCTCCACTGACTGAGCCAGCCAGAAGCCTCTAACTAGGATATTTTAAACATAGCAGTATTCATAATAACATAGAAAAGCATTTATCAAATTGTGACATAAAGAACACACTCAAATGCAGCTGTAAAAGTAAATTTACATTGGCTTGGAAAGAAAACCACAATTTACTAAGAAAAATTAACATGACTCAGTAAAAATCTATACACATATCTGTATAAATATAGGACATAAACACAGACTAGGTATTTATATCAAAAAGTTGAAGAATATACATAAACTGTAAGGGCAATCATCTTTTGGATATTTCCGGCAAATTGTTTTTTGTTTTTTAAATCAGTGGGGTATGCACTGCTTTTTCATAATTAAGAAACATTCTACTTTGAAAAGAGAATGAAATTAAAGGGTTACACAGATATTAAGGGAAGACACATTTCCAAGGTGTATAAATGCAAACAAAGAATAGCCGTGGCTGGAGGAAAACTGCAACAGGGACTTTAACACTCAGGGAGATGAAATCAAGAGACAGGCCTTCCACCTAGAGAACCATTCTTCTCCCTTATTTTCTAAAATTATAAGCAAACAACGCTTCTGCCAAATGCTACTGAATTCCAATAGCTTTAGCTAATATTAATAAAAGAGTACCTGGATGCTTGCAGTAAACTTTTCTAGTGTATTCTTCATTTCTCGTTCATTATGCCTTAACTTAACTACTGCTTCTTCCAGTTGTACTTTCTGTTCCTGGATTTGCACTGCTTTTTGAGAGTCTTTCTCCAACTGTAATTCCATTCTATTTACCTACAAAGAGTACCAGTGAAATAAGTTTTCTCTAAGAGTCATTTCAGATTAATAGCGAAATCAATTTAGGAATGAAGAAAACCCCAACTTCTGATTTTAAAGCCTAGAACAAAACCAAAATCCCCATTCCAAACCCCAATCCTAAAGCTTAGGAGATGGTCAAACTAATTTCTGTATCACAGAATCAGATGGAAAGACAATTTTAAGTGTTGCACAGTCACCTATTTATACCATTCAAAATTTTAAGTGGAAGGATATAAACTATTTCAAAATATGGGGGAAAAAATCAAGGTACACCTCTTTGGAAAAAGCTCAGTATCCAAGGAAAAAGTATAGTGTTCTGATAACGGAACACAGTGATTTTTTCTAGGCATCTTGACGTTCTCATACTTGTGGGCATGTAAAATATTGTGGGCATGTAAAACTTGGAAATGCATATCAGAAATCTTTGCTATATTTATTTTGAAATAGAAAAAACAATCATGGACTATACCAATTATATGTGAAAAACATTAAATGTTAAATAATGATTGATTAAATTATGAAATGTCCATATGATCCAAATGTAATATTAGAAAGATACATATGTTGAGCATACTTTCTAAATTAACATGTTTTATTTTTAGAAGTTTAAAGGATTTTACATTTAAAAAATCCCACAGCTTACATATATCATTTATACAAAATCCAATCTGTTAATTTAAAATCTGAGTATCCTTAAAAAGGCTTAATTTTATAGTATGTATGTTACACATCAGAAGGCTTTAAAAAAAGTCTGACTCTAATTTTATATATGCTCACCTCTTCTTCTGAGATTTCAACAACAACTGATGAACCCATCCTTCCTTTCATTACTCTGCTTCCACCACCAGTCATTGTACCTATAAAACAGAGAAGTCAGACTTAGCTGTATTCCAACAAGATTAAATAAACTCAATGTCAGGAAAAGAACTAAAAAATTTTTTAAAAAAATTATGTTTATTTATTTTTGAGAGGCAAAGAGAGAAAGAGCAGAAGCTGGGGAGGGGCAGAAGAGAGAGGGAGACACAAAATCCGAAGCAGGCTCCAGGCTCTGAACTGTCAGCACAGAGCCCGATGCAGGGCTAGAACCCACAAACCGCGAGTCCATGACCTGAGTCAAAGCTGGATGTTTAACTGACTGAGCCACCCAGGCGCCCCAGGAAAAACACTTTCATTACCTGATTGTTCTATGATTTGCCCCTGTAATGTCACCACTCTCCATCTTCTATCTTTTTGATATGCTACTCTTGTGGCTTGATCTAAGTTGTCAGCAACTAAGGTATCCCGTAAAGCAAAGTAAAAAGCTTGGCGAATTTTCTCATCTTTTACTTTTACTAAATCAAATAACCGAGGAGTATTTTCAGGAGTTTGAATTTTGGTCATTTTATTCGCCCATACGGTCATCTAAAAGTTAAAAAAAGAAAAAAAAAAAGAAAGAAAAACAGAATGTATCATTTCTTTAGAGTATTACTTACATAATATACATATGTAACATGTAAGAACATGTATACAAGGTTCTGAATATCTGCATAATTATTTTACCGTTATTTAAAAAGTATAAAATTCTATTCACAGATGACATGATCTTATATATACAAAATCCTAGGGAATGCACATACACAAAACTATTAAACCTAATATGAATTCAGCAAATTGGTAGGATACAAGATCAATGTACAAAAATTAATTGTATTTGTACACACTAGTAATGAATAACTTAAAAGTGGGATTAAAAAATTCCAATTATAATATCTTATTAAACAAGACAGAAAACCCCAAAAAACTTAGAAATACATTTAACAACAAAAGACCTATACACTAAATGCTGTAAAATATTATAGTATGAATTTAGACCTAAATAAATGGAAGACAGCCCCAGTTCCTGGATTGTTAAGGTTTAGAATTGTTAAGATGGCAACCTAAATTGATCTATAGATTCAATTCAACCTGCATCAAAAATCCCAGTTGCCTTCCCTCTCCCCCCCAAACTGACCCACTAATCTTTTTTTTTTTTTT